TACAAATATAAGTCGAATATGTTTTCCTAAAACATTGCATTTTCATTTATGAGTACTCATACTTAAGAGTAGACATGGTTTCAGTTTCACAAATATAAGTATGTGCTCCTAAAATGTTTGAGTTTCATTTAAGAGTACAAAGAGTTTTTTTTTGTGCATCCTCTTTAAGAATAGACATGATTTCAGTTCCACAAATATAAGGTGAGTATGCATTCCTAAAATGCTTGAGTTTCATTTATGATTGCAAAAAGTTTCTTTTTTGCATACTTTTTAAGAGTAGACATGGTTTCAGTTCCACAAATATAAGTTGAATATGTTTTTCTAAAACATTGTAGTTTTGTTTATGAGTAGTTTCTTTTATGTATCCTCTTTAAGAGTAGATATATTATTGCCTGCATCCTCTCCCCCCCAAAACAAAAAACAATACAAAACAAAGAAAAAAAGCATAGACATAGTTTCAGTTCCACAAATATAAGTCAAGTATATGTTCCTGAAAGGCTTAATTTTCATTTATGAATACAAAGAGTTTCTTTTGTACATCCTCTTTAAGAGTAGACGTGGTTTCAGTTCCACAAATATATGTCAAATATGTTGAGTTTGATTTGTGCATGCAAAGAGTTTCTTTGTCCCTCCTCTTTAAGAGTAGACATGGTTTCAGTTGCACAAATATAATGGTGTTATGTGTCCTAAAACGTTTAAGTTTGATTTATGAGTATAAAGAGTTTCTTCTTTGCATCCTTTTTAAGAGTAGACGTGTTTTCACTTCCACAAATATAAGGCGAGTATCTGTTCCTAAAACTTTTCAGTTTGATTTCTAAGTACAAAAAGGTTTTTTTTTTGGCATCCTCTTTAAAAGTAGACACAGTTTCAGTTCAAGAATATAAGACGAGTATGCATTCCTAAAATGTTTGAGTTTCATTTATGATTACAAAGAGTTTCTTTTGTGAATCCTCGGAGTAGACACGGTTTCAGTTCCACAAATTTAAGTCAAGTATGTGTTCCTAAAATGTTTAACTACGTTTATGAGTACAAAGAGTTTCTTCTATGCATCCTTTTTAAGAGTAGACACAACACAGTAAGAAGTGGCGCAGTAGATAGAGCACTGGCCCTGGAGTCAGGAGGACCCGAGTTCAAATCCGGCCTCAGACCAAACACTTGACACTTACTAGCTGTGTGACCTTGGGCAAGTCACTTAACCCCGATTGCCTCACAAACCAAAAAAAAAAAAAAGAGTAGACAGTATCGGTTCCAAAAATATAAGACAGATATGAGTTCCTAAACTGTTTGAGTTTCATGTATGTTTACAAAGAGTTTCTTTTGAGCATCCTCTTTAAGAGTAGACACAGTTTCATTCCACAAATATAAGTCAATGTATATTTTATTAAAACTTTTGAGTCTGATTCGTGAGTTCAAAGAGTTTCTTTTGTGCATCCTTTAAGAGTAGACACAGTTTCAGTTCCACAAATATAAGTCAAGTATGTGTTCCTAAAATGTTTGAGTACATTTATGAGAACAAAGAGTTTCTTTTATGTATCCTCTTTAAGAGTAGACAAAAAAAAATAGAGTAGACATGGTTTCAGTTCCACAAATGTGTCAAGTATATGTTCCTAAAAGGTTTGACTTTCATTTATGATTACAAAGAGTTTCTTTTGTGCATCCTCTTTAAGAGTAGTCAGGGTTTCAGTTCCACAAATAGGAGAGTGCTATTTGTTCCTAAAATGTTTGAATTTGATTTATAAGTACAAAGAGGTTCTTCTTTGCATCCTTTTTAAGAATAGGTGTGATTTCAGTTCCACAAATATACATTGAATGTGTTTTGTTAAAACTTTTGAGTTTGATTTATGATTACAAAAAGTTTCTTTTTTCTCTCATCTTTAAGAGAAGATGTGGTTTCAGTTTCACAAATATAAGGTTGTTGTGTGTCCTAAAATATTTGGATTTGATTTATGAGTACAAGGAATTTCTTTTTTGCATCCTCTTTAAGAGTAGATGTGCTTTCATTTCCACCACTATAAGTTGAGCACATGTTCCTAAAAGGTTTGAGTTTGTTTATGAGTACAAAGAGGTTTTTTTTGCATCCTTTTAAAGTATAGATGTGGTTTCAGTTCCACAGATCTAAGTGGAATATGTTTTCTTAAAACGTTTGAGTTTGATTTATGATTACAAAGAGTTTCTTTTGTGCATCGTCATGACGAGTTGACGTGGTTTCAGTTGCACAAATATAAGGCTGGTATCTGTTTCTAAAATGTTTGAGTCTGATTTATGAGTACAGAGTGTTTCTTCTTTGCATCTTCTTTAAGAGTAGATGTGCTTTTAGATCCACAAATCTAATTCTAAGACTTGTTCTAAAACTTTTGAGTTTGATTTATGTGTACAAAGAGTTTCTTTTGTGCATCCTCTTCAAGAGTAGATGTGCACAAATATAAGGTTGGTATGTGTTTCTAAAATGTTGGAGTTTCATTTAGGAGTACAAAGAGTTTCTTTTTGCTTCCTTTTTATGAGTAGACATGGTTTCAGTTCCACAAATATAAATAGTGTGTGTGTTCCTAAAACTTTTGTGTTTGATTTATGTGTACAAAGAGTTTCTTTTTTGCATACTCTCTAATAATGAACATGGTTTCAGTTGAATCATGTGTTCATGAGTTGAACATGAGTTGAATGTGTTCCTAAAATGTTTCACTTTTATCTATTGAATACAAAGTTTCTTTTGTGCATCCCCTACAAAAGTAGACATGGTTTCATTCCCACAAATACGTAGAATATGTTTTCTTAAAACATTTGAATTTGATTTATGAGTAAAAAGAGTTTCTTTTTTGCATCTTCTTTAAGAGTAGACATGGTTTCAGTTCCACAATTATAAGTCGAATATGTTTTCTTAAAACTTTTGTGTTTTCTTTATGAGTACAAAGTGCTTCTTTTGTGCATCCTCTTTAAGAAGATGCATAATTTCAGTTGCACAAATATATGTTGAATATGTGTTCATAAAATTTCAACCTTCTTCCACGATTATGAAGAGCTTAATATGTGCATCCTCTTCAAGAGTATAAGTAGTTCCAGTTCCACAAATATAAGAATGAAAAATTTTTATGATATCTAAGACCAATACAAAACCCCAAAACTGTCTTTTAAATAGAGTACAAATGAAGGGAAATCCCATTATGAAATAATGAAAATTACACTGAGCAGTATATAAGGGTGGTTGACCTAGAGTCCAGATGACACAAGAGACTGAGATAAAGGCTCACTTGTCTCTCAGCTCAGCCAGCTCCAAATTATCCTCAGTATTATCATGTGCTCCTGGACCATATTGTCAGTTGCCCTGAAGCTGCTCTGCTCCAGTACCCTCTGTTCCCTGGGCTGTGACCTGACTCAGAGCCTGAAGGAAGACTTCTCACTTCTGAACCAAATGAGCACATTTTCCCTAGTGCCATGTTGGAAGGACAGGACCAACTTCAACTTCCCAAAGGAAGCCATGGAGGGCAGCCAGCTCCAGAGGGAAAATGCCACATTCATCATTCATGAGATGCTCCAGCATATTTTAACCATCTTCACCCTGAATGCCTTTCCTGCCACTTGGAATCAGACCCAGCTCAAGCACTTACTCAATGGACTGCATCAGCAGTTGGAACAGCTGGAGAGGTGTGTTGGGCAGGATATGGAGATGGAAGAGTCTTCCTTTGGAAATGAGAGTCCCAGGCTAATCCTGAATAGCTACGTGCAAGGGATAAGCCAATACTTGCAAGGTAAAGAGTACAACCACTGTGCCTGGGAGATTGTGAAAGTTGAGATTACAAAGATCTTTCTGTTCATGAACAAATTCGCAAGAAAACTCAAGGGTTGAGGAAGATAAAATAGACTTTCAGTTCTTCAAATAATTGGATGCTTCCTAAAATTAAGCAGTCAATCTTTAGAAAGAAGTGTTTCTACATCAACTGAAAATCACCTGTATTTACCAAATAGTTTTAAAACCCTATAAGCTGCCATTCCTCTTTTGAAAGGGACTTTGAATACAGATAATCATCATCTGTGTTCAATAACTGAACATTTTTACTTTGCAGTCTTCTATTTATCTTTCTATATATTTTAATTCTCAGTTTTGTCTGCATAAAATTTAATACAGTAAGATCTAGAAATCATTTTATATCTTTTCTTTTTTTTCTGATTTTGCCACTGTTCATTTTGGTTAATTTTTTCACACTTGTCTTTTTAATTGAGCTAAACATATATACATTGTATTAGTTTTTTCAATAAATTGGTTTTTAGTTCTCTTTATCCACTTTATATACTTTTAAGATTCTAATTTATAGATTTCTTCTTAAATTTTCTAGATTTCCTTTTCTGTCCTGTTTGGGTTTCTTTGTTGCTTTGTTTAAAAAAAAACTGTTCAGTTTATTGACGCTCATAATATTTTGTAAATGTTTTTAGTATATAATTTTTCCTCTGGGCACTCCTTTAGAGAAATAAAGAAATGCTGATGTTACTTTATCATTATTTTTTCTTTCATAAGGTTATTAACTATTTCTCTAATTTGTTGTTTGGCATACTTTTTTAGAATTATGTAATTAAGTCTCCATTTAGGTCTATAGCTTTCATTTGTGCTCCCTTAATTCATCCTTATTTGTGTTGAATTATATCTATAAGAAGTGTGAGTTTCTTTTCTGACTACCAAGAGCTTAATCTGTTTAAGAGAAAATTTGGGTGCAGTTTCTCAAATACAAGAAAGCAGGAATTTTAATAGTATCTTCTGAGACCGATAGGGAAAATAAGTCAAAGAAAGTAGAAAGTGAAGGGAAATTCCATTGTAAGTAATGAAAATTACATGCAGTACTATGTAAGGGAGAGTGACCTAGAGGCCTAGAAAAGCCAAGAAGCTGAGACAAAGGCTCAGTGGTCTCCCCGCTCAGCCAAACCCAAGCCATCCTCAGTGTCACTATAACCTCCTGGAGCTTGTTGCCAATTATCCTGGTAATGATTTGCTCCAGCACCCTCTGCTCCCTGGGCTATAACCTGATTCAGGGCCACCTCCAGGAAGATTTCTTAATACTTTTGAGTTTGATTGGTAAGTACAAAGACTTACTTTTCTGCATCCTCTTTAAGATTAGTCATGGTTTCAATTCCACAAAGAAAAATTGAATATGTTTTCCTAAAATGTTTGTGTTTCACAAAGATTTTCTTTTGTGCATTCTCTTTAAGAATAGACATGGTTGCAGTTCCACAAATATAAGTCGAGTATGTGTTCCTAAAATGATTAAATTTCACTTATGAGTACAAAAAGATTCTTTTGTGCATTCTCTTTAAGAGTTGATGGGGTTTCAGTTCCACAAATATAAGGTTAGTTTTTATTCCTAAAATGTTTGGGTTGCATTTATGAGTACAATGAGTTTCTTTTTTGCTTTCTCTTTATGAGAAGATGTGGTTTCAGTTCCACAAACATAAGTCAAGTATGTGTTCCTAACACTTTTGAGTTTGATTTATGTGTACAAAGAGTTTCTTTTTTGCATACTCTTTAAGAGTGGCCATGGTTTCAGTTCCACAAATATAAGTCAAATATGTGTTCCTGAAATGTTTGAGTTTAATTTATGAGTAAAAGTTTCTTTTTTGCATCTTGTTTAAGACTATATACATAGTTTCAGTTCTAAAAATATAAGGTGAGTGTGTGTGTTCCTAAAATGGTTGAGATTCATTTATGAGTACAAAGAGTTTTCTTTGTGCATTCTCTTTAAGAGTAGACATGGTTGCAGTTGCACAAATATAAGTCGAATATGTTTTGTTAAAACTTATGAGTTTGATTTATGTGTACAAAGAGTTTCTTTTTTGCATGCTCTTTAAGAGTATACACAGTTTCAGTTCCTCAAATATAAGTCTAATATGTTTTCTTAAAACATTGCAGTTTCATTTATGATTACAAAAAGTTCTTTTTAAATGTATCCTCTTTAAGAGCAGACACCTTTTCAGTTCCACAAATATAAGTCAAGTATGTGTTCCTAAAATGTTTGAGTTTCATTTATGAGTACAAATTGTTTTTTTGTTTCCTCTTTCAGAGTAGATATTGTTTCAGTTGCACAAATATAAGGCTAGTATGTGTTATGAAAATATATGAATTTGATTTATGAGTAAAGAGAGTTGCTTCTTTTCATACTCTTAAACAATATACATAGGTTCAGTATCAGAAACATGAGTTTAGTGTATGTTCCTTAAACATTTGAGTTTTTTATGAATACAAAGAATTTCTTTTATGCATCCTCTTTAAGAGTAGACACAGTTTTAGTTCCACAAATGCAAGGCAAAAATGTGTTCCTAAAACTTTTGAGTTTCATTTATGCATACAAAGAGTTTCTTTTATGCGTCTACTCTAAGAATAGACACGGTTTCAGTTCTACAAATATAAGTCAAATATGTTTTCCTAAAACGTTGCAGTTTTGTTTATGAGTACAAAGAATTTCTTTTATGTATAATCTTTAAGAGTAGACATGGTTTCAGTTCCACAAATATAAGTTGAATTTCTTTTGTTAAAACTTTTGAGTTTGATTTATGACTACAAAGAGTTTCTTTTGTGCATCTCCTTTAAGAGCAGACAGTTTCAATTCCACAAATATAAGTCAAGTATGTGTCCCTAAAACATTTGAATTTCTTTTATGAGAACAGAGTTTCTCTTGTGCATCCTCTTTAAGAGTAGATATGGTTTCAGTTCCAAAAATATGTCGAATTTCTTTTGTTAAAACTTTTGAGTTTGATTTGTGCATACAAAGAGTTTCTTTTGTGCATCTCTTTAAGAGTAGACATGGTTTCAGTTCCACAAATAGAAGCTGAGTATGTATTTCTAAAATGTTTGCATTTCTCTTATGCATACAAAGAGGTTTTTTTGTGCATGTGCTTTAAGAGTAGAAGTGCTTTCAGTTCCACAGATACAAGTCGAGTACATGTTCCTAAAAGGTTTGACTTTTGTTTATGAATACAAAGAGTTTCTTTTTTGCATCCTTTTTAAAAGTAGTCATGGTTTCAGTTCCACAGATATCAGAAATATATTTTCTTTAAAGGTTTGAGTTTGATTTATGATTACAAAGAATTTCTTTTGTGCGTCCTCTTCAAGGGTACAAGTGGTTTCAGTTGCAAAATATAAGGGTGGTATGGTTTTTTTAAAATGTTTAATTTTATTTATGAGTACAAAGAGTTTATTCTTTGCATCTTATTTAAGAGTAGATGTGCTTTCAGATCCACAAATATACATCAAATATATGTTGCTAAAGTGTTTGAGTTTGATTTATGGGTTCAAAGATTTTTTTTGTACATCCTCTTTAAGAGTAGACATGGTGTCAGTTTCCCACACATCCGTAGAATGTTTCCCTTAAACTTTTGAGTTTGAATTATGAGTACAAAGAGTTTCTTTTGTGCATCCTCTTCAAGAGTAGATATGGTTTCAGTTCCACAAATATAAGGCTGGTGTGTGTTCCTAAAAAGTTTGAGTTTGATTTATGAGTACAAGGAGTTTCTTCTTTGCATCCTCTTTAAGAGTAGACATGGTTTCAGTTCTGCATATATGAGGCGAGAATGTATTCCTAAAACTTTTGAGTTTCATTTATGAGTACAAAGAGTTTCTTTTATGCATCCTCTTTAAGAGCAGACATGGTTTCAGTTGCACAAATATAAGACTAGTATGTATTCCTAAAATGTTTGAGTTTGATTTATGAGTACAACAAGTTTCTTCTTTGCATCCTCTTTAAGAGTAGCTGTGCTTTCAGTTTCACAAATATAAGTCGAGTATGTGTTCCTAAAATGTTGAGTTTAATTTATGTGTTCAAAGATTTTCTTTTCTGCAGTCTCATTCAAAGTAGACATGGTTTCAGTTCCACAAATATAAGTGGAATTTTTTTTCTTAAACGTTTGAGTTTGATTTATGAGTACAAAGAATTTCTTTTATGTATAATTTTTAAGAGTAGACATGGTTTCAGTTTCACAAATATAAGTCGAATATGTTTTCCTAAAACGTTGCAGTTTCATTTATGAGTACAAAGAGTTTGTTTTGTGTATCTTCTTTAACAGTAGACATGATTGGGGCAGCTAGGTGGCATAGTGGGGCAGCCAAGTGGTGAACTGGATAGAGCTCCAGTCTTGGAGTCAGGAGAACCTAAGTTCAAATCTGGCCTCAGACACATGACGCTTACTAGCTGTGTGACACCAGGCAAGTCACTTAACCCTGATTGGCTCAACAAAAAGAAATTTAAAAAAAAGTAGAATGGTTTCAGTTCCACAAATATATGACAAGTATGTTTTCCTGAAACATTTCAGTTTTGTTTATGAATACAAAGTGTTTCTCTTATATACCCTCTTTAAGAGTAGACTTGGTTTCAGTTCCACAAACATAAGTCAAGTATGTGTTCTTAAAATATTTGAGTTTCATTTATGAGTACAAAGAGGTTTTGTTTTTGTGCATCCTCTTTAAGAGTAGACATGGTTTCACTTCCACAAATATAAGTCAAGTATGTGATCCTAAAATGTTTGAGATTCAGTTATGAATACAAAGGGTTTCTTTTGTGCATCCTCTTTAAGAGTAGACATGGTTTCAGTTCCACAAATATAAATGTAATATAATACTAGACTTAATCAATAATGACTTAGCTTTGTGAAAGTTATCTGACTTCTCTTTACCTCAGTTTCCTCAAATTTAAAATGAAGACACTGTATTGGACACTTTCCATGGTTTCTTCCTTCTTAAAAGTCTTTCTATATCTGAACTTATTTACATCATCAGGATTTGTTTACTTCACTGCAATTATTATATGCATCCGCTTATCTTCTCTCTGAAGACCATACTTTTTCAGGCACCTTCCTTTGCAAACAGGG